GGGGGAGTGGAGAAGATTGAAGGGGGGAGTGGAGAAGATTGGAGGAGGGAGGGGGAGTGGAGAAGATTGGAGGGGGGAGGAGAAGACTGGGAGGGGGGGGGGAGGAGAAGATTGATGAGGGGGGGGGAGAAGCTGAAGAGAAGATTACAGAGGGGGGAGGGAGAGGAAGAAGATTACAGGAGGGGAGGGGAGTGGAGAAGATTGAGGGGGAGAAGAAGAGAAGATCATAGAGGGGAGGGAGAATGGAGAAGATTACAGGGAGGTGGGGGGAGGAGAAGAGATTGAGGGGGGGAGAAGATTACAGGAGGGAAGTGGAGAAGATTACAGGGAGGAGGGGGAGTGGGAGAAGATTGAGGGGGAGGAGAAGATTGAGGAATGGAGAAGATTGAGGGGGGGAGGAGAAGATTACAGGACGGAGGGGAGTGGAGAAGACTGAGGGGAGCGGAGAAGATTGGAGGGAGGGGGGGAGAAGAAGAGGAAGATTGCTGAGGAGAGAGAGAGGAAGATTACAGGGAGGGGGAGGGGAGGAGAAGATTGAGGGGGGGAGAAGAAGAGAAGATTACAGAGGGGAGGGAGTGGAGAAGATTACAGAGAGGGAGGGAGAGTGGAGAAGATTGGAGCAAGGGAGAAGAAGTTTACAGGGAGGGAGAGGGAGTGGAGAAGATTACAGGGAGGAGTGGAGAAGATTACAGGGAGGGAGGGAGAGTGGAGAAGATTGGAGCGAGGGAGGGGGGAGAAGAAGAGAAGATTACAAGGAGGGAGGGGGAGAGTGGGAGAAGATTACAGGGAGGGAGGGGGGAGTGGAGAGGATTACAGGGAGGGTGGGGAAGATTGGAACGAGGGAGAAGAAGAGAAGATTACAGGGAGGGAAAGGGGGTGGAGAAGATTACAGGGGGGGGGAGTGGAGAAGATTACAGGGAGGGGGCGAGAGCACATATACACAGAAACACACAATGCATCCCTTACACACACATGCAAACACACACTGCTTCTCTTACACACACACAGAAACACAATGCATCTCTTACACACACTCAACGCACCCCTTACAGACCCACACTGCATCCCTTACATACACAGAAACACACTTTGCATCCCTTATGCATACAAAGATTCACACAATGCAATGCGTCCCTTACACACAACAAGAAACACACAATACATCCCTTATACACACACACACTGCTTTCTATCCCTTACACACAAACACACTGCATCACCTACACAAACTGGTATCCCTATACACTACATTCCATAAGCACACACATTAGATCCTCTACAGTAACACATAACACATCCCCTACACACTCCACTCCCTGTGAGCGAACTCATGGGTGGAACATGTAGGTGGACTTATGGGTGGGCCTTATGGGCATACTCACCGTCAGGCCCTGGGGCCCAGACCTTGAGCTGTGTAAGGGGCCCCAAAAAATGGAGCTGCTTCTCGTTATCCCAGAACATTGAATTTTGTGACCACAGTCACAAACAGCCTCCAGAGATCCTGTTCTACACCAGACCAGTAGAGCCAGACTGTAGCCAGAGCCCATCACCAACTCATCTGATTGTAAGTAGGCAATCTAGTATATTATTAGTGACACTAATCTCTAACTTACCTCACATTAAAGGGACACTATAGTCCCCAGAACCACTGCAGCTTAATAAAGTGGTTCTGGTGTCTATAGTTTGTCCCTGCAGGCTTTTTAATGTAAACACGCACTGTGTGCAGCACTGGCGTTGGTTCATATGGCAGATCATATGGGTGGGGCATTGTGATGTCACTGGGGGGTGGGTGGGAGGGGCGGCAAATCTTTCTTTTGCCTAGGGCAGCAAAAATCCTTGCAGCGGCCCTGGCTGAGACAGACAAGGGGGCAGATCAGGGGCAGAGCCAGCACATTTCAAACACAGCCCTGGCCAATCAGCATCTCCTCATAGAGGTGAATTGAATCAATGAATCTCTATGAGGAAAGTTCAGTGTCTGCATGCGGAGGGAAGAGATACTGAATGTTTGGATGCATTTTAGGCAGCCATGACGCAGGAAGGATCTCTAACAGCTATCTGAGGAGTGACAGTATTTACAGCAAAAAGCTTGAAGGTAATGATTCTTCTCACCAGAACAAATACAATAAACTGTAGTTCTGGTATTTATAGTGTTTCTTTAACTTGCTTTTAAGGGCTAATGATTATTTTACATATTTTACACTGCCCAAAACAAGTGATTTTTTTTTCTTTGTGATTGTAGGTTTATGTATTATGCTATGTTTGTATTTTTTTTCCTTTTGTCAAATCTTTAAAATATTAATTAATAAAATAAATTTGCATGTAGTGTGACCAGCCCAGTGCATAGAAATGTCACATTCCTTTTACATGACAGGTGCATATTTAAGATTATTTTTTCCCCAATATATAGTAGTATCATAGTAGTATACATGTTTTCTTTGCTTAATCCCACTCTCAATCTTTATGTCTGTGTCGGGAATTCACAATGATTCTGCCCTTAGTTATAAAAGTGCTGATTTCAACCGAAGTCAGAATTTTATAAACTATCAAAAAATTGCATACTATAGGCACATGCTGAAATGATTTTCGTGTCTGGGGTTTGCTACCTTTACAGTTCTCTGTAATGGTTGTTGTGTCCATCTGAAGTAGTGGAGGCAGAGAGCAACACCCCACAAAACCCTGGAAATAAGTTAAATTGTTCTAAAATGGGTTTCCTACTTACAGTAGGGCAGCACTAGGGCACTCCTGACATCATAGCCATTACAGTGTGCTGTAGAGGTTATAGTGCTTGGAATATTGGAAGTTGCACATGAATCATAATAACAGTATGATTTGGCAACAGCACCAACAATGGTAAATAATATATCTTGAATGTAGAGCAATGTCCAGAGTACAAGTTGACCCAACCTTTCAAGCTGTCTATAGAAAACTATTTAATAATTTAGAATTAGTAACTATCAGTACAATTTAGGAAGCTTGATAGCCATCATATTGAATAGATTCCGTGGTATGCTTTGTAACAAATACCAATATTTTTTTTTTTATTATTTTAGATTACCTTTTTGAAACATTGCTAGCAACTGTAAAGCTGTAGAGAAATTCATACAGACAATGTCTCTAGCTGACTATAATGGACATTAATCTCCCATTAGGGAATTAGGGAATGCAAAATAAGCAACATCATAGTGAAAGTGCACAGAATGGTGATCATTGCTGACTAATGGATAGTATGTTATTGTTGAGGGTCTTACCATAATCACAACTTTAACTTTCCTTTGTGCTCCATGATCAACATTATTAGGGTGCAAAGCGTAGTGTGAGAGGCAAGGGTATGTGATAATCAATCTCCACTACATTAATGTTAAAACTGGTGACTGGAGACATTAGGAAAGTGAATTTCACACTAATATTATTTCACTATTTGATACCTATGCCAATGTAATCTCTGAAATTGCAATGCTTTTAGGTGGAGTCCACAGTCACCAGGTTCTGCATCAATCTTAAATGATTTACTCTACATTTCACAGTGGCCCCTGGCAACTTCTCAACTTGTATGAATTGGTAACTCTGCTATATCGTAATTGGGGATCGGGTTGCAGGTTACAAGGGACTTAGCATCTCTGCTGAGTGGGAAGCAAACCCTTTAACCCTTGGACCCGGCACCTGTAGACTCAATGTACTAAACCACTTAAATCAGTTGAAGTAGTTATGGTTTCTTTAGTGTCCTTTTAAATCTATGCATACCTAAACGAAAAAAATATGAAAACAAAAATGTAAATTTTGGTTGGACGGGATAACTTTTTTCAGTGCATGAAATTAAGACAAGCGTTGTAAACACATCTCAGCGAGGGTACATAGAAAAAGAATCATGTCACAGAGTTACATGGAATGTCACACAGACTACACTTTTTATGAAATAGGGAACATGAGTGTAACAGGAGTAAAACACTGACTTTTAAAGATATGTAACCAGATAATATCAGGGTAGTCTGACACGTCTAAAATGGTCAGAGTGCACAAAAGGAAGAGCTAAAAGACATGTAAGTAAAGTAATTCGTTTACGCACATTTATGTGTTACTCAGGATTGACTCAGTATTAAATGAAAACAAGCTAGGCTATGTATTGGAACTGATTAGCATTTGGAAAATACTGGGATATGGTTCAGAGAAGTGAGAAACCGTTCACTAGTTAAGTATTAGTGTATTACATAAAATAAGAAAAAATAAAAAGAGGACCCAGCCTGGTCTACCAATAAAAAAGAGGACCCAGCCTGGTCTACCTATAGTGTGGCAGCCGAGCATAGCAGTATGATTTCAGCCAATTTTCTGGTCTGGGATGCCGTCCCGCTGTAGTCTCTGGGGCAGGTGGCGCATCAGGAACGAGATGAGCCATCCCTCCAGCTCCAGGTCTGATCAGAGGGCCACATCTTTGAACCACGGACTCTGCTACATGCAGTGTCTAAGTCCTTCTGTTTTGGTACATTGCAGAAGGCCCTGATGGTTTGTCGTCTCTTGTGGCTATTGGTCCTCTGCCTATGTGGATGATGAAGTGAGGTGAATTCCCTGGTGGCCCTAGGCCTAAATGGGCGTTTGTTGCATGGTACAGAAGCTTGTGCAAATTGTCCCTCCTGACCTCTGCCTCCCTGGCCTCCTGCTTGATGTCTGGAGGGTTCTGGTGTCATTTGAGTTGCAAATTGCCTTCCAAAAGCAGTCGAAAATCTCCTCCAGTCACTGCAGCAATCTCTCCACAGAGATATACTGGTCTCTTTCTGCAGGCATCGACTCGTGCTCCCGATGTGAGAGTGCGTCCGCCATCTTGGGGTAGCGATTTACTGTCTGGGCTACTGTGTGAGTCGGCATCTGGGTAAGAAAGGTAAGTGGTGGTTCCAGTAGGTACCGGGATAACTGCTGCCAGTCCACGGGGGTGGGGGAGACCTCAAGCAGCGGAGTGACTTGGCGAGGTCCCAAAGCAGCTCAGGTCGCGAGAGCAGCTGCCTCTCCCACCTGATGCCCCTACCAGGCCTCTTCAATACCTCCGGTGCTTGCAGTGGCAAACCCCTAGGCAAAGCCAGTTTTGAGCATCTCATGTGGTTCCACGACATTGGGTAAGTACAGATTGTGCGGGATGTGAGTGCTAGGCTGTGGTGAACTAAGGGGAGGCGGGGTGGTCCGCCCCAGGTGCCACTCACTAGGGGGGTGCCCGAGGCAGACTGTGTCAGGTCCTGGGTCACTGAACGAGGACCTGACACCAGGAGGGGGTCCGGTGGCTCGCTAGATATGCCGCCGGGTGAGATGTCCCTTCTGCGCCCATTGCAGACACTGGACTGCAGCTCCGCAGTGTGTAGAGCTGCAGACCATGTGTCTTGCGAGATCTGATTAATCAGAGCGTTGCAGATGGTTACCACAGCAACGCTCTGACTGGGTCTCGCGAGATTCATGATCTGCAGCTCTGCGGAGCTGCAGACCGGATATTATGGCCACCGGACCACCAGGGAGAACACAGGACCAGCAGGGAATTAAGGTATTTAGTTCGTCCCCCCTCTCCCCATCCCTCACACCATCACCCCCCTCTCACAGTACCCCCTCTCATCATCACCCCCTCCTTCACACCATCACCTCCCTCTCACATCACCCCCCTCTCATCATCACCCCCCTCCCTCACACCATCAGCTCTCCCTCTCTCCTCTCATCACCCCCTCACCATCACCCCACCTCTCACATCACCCCTCACACCATCACCCCCCCTCACACCATCACCTCCTCCCACACACACCATCACCACCCTCCCTCACACATCACCCCTCCATCACAGTATTACTCCCCACTCCCTCTCACCTTCCCCCTACCTCAAACCATCACCCCCCTCCTTCACACCATTATCCACTACACAAACACACTTTATTCACTATACAAACACACTACATTCACTATACAAACACACACAGACACACACTTATACATGTGTGTCTGTGTATCTGTATGTGTGTTGGTATATGTGTAGCTGTTTGTGTGTCTGTATGTGTGTGTGTCAGTGTTTGTCTGTATCTGTGTATGACTGTGTTTCTATGTAACTGCATGTGTGTACCTATAGATCTGTGTATGTGTGCAGGTGTTTGTATACGTGAGTATATGTGCATACATCTCAGCATTTCGCCTACACTACACACAAATACAACCCTGCATCCAAATGTCAACACTACATAAAAACACACTACCATATTCAAAAATCACACTACAGAAAAATGCATGCCTGCATTCAAATGCCAATACGTGCAAACACACCCATACATTCACTCACACATACTCCATACAAACACTGCTCTGTGCTACATACATGAAAAAAATTTGCGGGTGTTTTTATACATTTTTAAGCTGGAGGGGTGCCAAATGCTCCAGGTACGTCCCTGGTGCTAGACGTTAATATAATCAGAAAGGTTGTACACATACTACACTATGAAGATTCTCTTGTTGTCCTATTTTCATAATTACATATAACTACACCTAAGGACATCTCGGGTACTGTTCCAATCTCCTCCTTAAGCAAATTTATATTCACTGGTGAAGAGAGATCCCGGATTGAGTGTTGTGCTTCCTATATCTATTCCATCAGTATATTTCTAGAGCTGACATTTCTCTTTTGTATTTAGAAACGTCAAGATACCTATATAATGGAGGAACTGAAAGCACAAGCACAGGATACCTTACTGACATTCCAGAGGTCCTGGATGTTATTTGAGTCTTAACAGGATAATCACCTTAATGGAATTCGTCTGTTTGACCCCTCACCCGCAGCAACTCTTCCTCTCTGGCGTCTTTCTCATCTCTCTTTTCTCTTGTCTTTTTCCTCTATCTTTACAGTTCTCTCCTTCTTTTATTGTGTTGTTTACCTTCCCTCGTTCATTCAATAATGTAGACTGAGAATGCAGTATGCTATATTGCACTTTTCAACTGTTGCCATTCTGAAAATGTTTTGTACTGTTGTCTGAACTTGGAATAAAGAGTTTTTAAAAAGTCATATGTCCATACTGTGCACGTAATGCTTTTTTTTTCTTTTCAATATTTTATTAAGTTTTAAGACTTCAGGGGGAAAGGGGTACAGAAGAGAAAGGGATGCATTGTACATACATCGCAACAGTACAACAATACCGGGTATTAGATCCTTCACCCATCCAAGTGGGTCAAGTATGTATTACTCTTGCTACCCGTGCCTTGTTTAACTTCATAGATCAACAGGATAGCATCAGGGTGTGGGGAACCTCGGTATCGTCACCCGTATGTCAATTCCTTGGTCGTATCCATCCTTTTACGTCATTCCCGTCCTCTAGTAATGTGGGCTGGGGAAAACTAGGGAAAGGCTAGGGTCAATTATGGGCAAGGTGTCGGTCCGCCAATAATAGAAGTCTATGTTAAGGGCTCTGAGCCTCTAGGTCTTAGTGAGTTGAGTTCTGTTGTCGCCAAGTGTCCCACTGGGCCCATGCTTCCTGCCATGTCTCCCCTTTAGGTCTTAGGCGTCTTGTTTCTAACTCATATTGTTTTGTGGCATCCACCTCGCTCAAACACTGCCCAATCTCTGGCGGAGTGTCCCTGAGCCACATCTTTCCTATTGCCGCCAGGGCTGCAATGATAATATGGTACATGAGATGTAGAGTGGCTGGGGCGGAGTCTAGCAACAGACGAGGAAGGTCGCATGGCCGCAGAGCTCCCGACTCGAAACGAGCTAAATCGCTGCAAACAGAACCCAACCACGACCCAAACACTCCCCAGAGTGCCCCATGATTTACCCGATCCACATGGGCAGAAAAACAAAAAAACAAAAGCCCGACAAGCCCCGTCTGGGCATGAATATCGGGGATATGTGGAAACAGGCCCATGAGACAGCCGGTGCAACAATGGCATCCCTGCACGGAGGATGTTCCGATTTTTCGGATGGAATGTCTGATGAAGGAGAAGGGAGCTTCATGCCGATCAGAGCTCCACCACCGCCAGACAGATCTCGTGTGCCTGCATCGGCTCCCACACCGGTGACCATGGAGACCATCAGGGAGCTCATGGCTGCCCATCACAGCAAAATCTCAGCAGAAGTGGCCACGATAAGGGAGGATCTGAAAGGCCTCTCAGCACGGCTCGGGACCGTGGAATGCACCTCTAGCGGCCATACACGCCAGATAGAGGAGCTGAAAGCAGCAGTCCACGACCTCAAACAACTAGCATCACTCCATGACCAGCAACTGGCCACACAAGAGGATAAGCGACGTCAAAACAATCTAAAGCTAAGAGGAGTCGCTGACTCTGTGCTCGAGGCCGAGCTCCCACATTACGTCAGGCGGTTGCTAACCCCGAAAGCGGCCATAATATTGGATAACATCTTCCGTATACCACGGCCAGCTACAGCACCACCAGCTGCCACAGGGGACATAATCCTCCGATTTCAAAGCACGAGGGACAAGAGGGCCGTTCTAGAAGCCACCAAGGGCCTAACAACCTATACTTTTGAGGACATGACTCTGTCGTTTTATGCAGATCTCTCAGGTGGAACGCTGAACTGGAGAAGATCTCTCAAACAGCTTACATCCTTCTTGAGGCAGAAACAACTCAGGTACCGCTGGGGCCCAGGCCGCGCCCTACACATAGAAGGCGCAAGCGGCCCTCTAGTGGTGCGGAACCTACAAGAGGCCACAAGGACACTAGAAGACCTGCAACTACCATTGATGGCACTGGACATCGCGAACCCACCGGCTGGAACTACAAGCAGCCTAGGGAGGAACGCGGTTGGCGCACCAATCTTTGTGCCACGACAACCCCCCGCAGGACCACATGCGGCCACCACAACCTGAAATAGGACAAAAACTACTGGGATGCTCTCTCACCTTTTTCTTTTAACGGGCAACAGCCAAGCCCGCTGCTCAACAGATGAGAACGTCCATCCACAGCGAGAGTAATCGAGACTGTCTATTCGCACTCTCTCTCTCGCACTTTTATTACTTTTTGTTCCTTATCTGTCTTGTTTGTTTTTTGTTTAGTTTTTTTTTATTTTTTTATTGATGCTGACTCGTTTTAAATGTCTACACGACTGCATAGGCACCCACAACATGTACCTAGGCAACAAGATCAGGCAGATGCCGAATAACAAATCAGCTTAAATGCCTGACCCGCCACCTTAAGCGAGGTATAACCTCTCAGACAACATTACATAACCTGTAACAACCTTGCTTTCCCATACACAACTTCCGAACGTTGTCATGCAGTGGAATCCACAATAACGCCCCAACCTGCACTTAACACAACCCCAGCCTGCACTTAATAATGCCCCAGCCTGCACTTATAATGCTATTAGCCCATACATACACAAACGGTACCCTTCTGATATAGCTGGCAAGCACTTTGAGATAGGTCCTACTCACTCCTACTCATTTAGAAATGGTAATTTCCAACTAGTCTAACATAAGCATAAACCTTTCTACACCGACCATACGCTCACATCCTGTAATGTTGCAATATAAAAATATGCTGCATCTTCCACATGCTGACCAATTGTTAATATATGTTTGGTATCATGCTTGTCAAAGCTGTTGGGACATGACGAGCCCACTTATTATGTTTTCATGCACACCATAACGTGACAGTGCGCATAGTTATTACATGCTCTTGCTTATTTAGCAATGTCTATCTTGGCATCACTTTGATATGCCTGTTTTTTCTTTTGTTCAATCTTTTTGGTTAAATCGTGAATTTCTCACTCAAACAAAAAACAAAGTGCAACGCATAACGAACATGTCACCAGAATTGTCTTCATTTGCCTACTACTGTAATATTATGTGACAACCTTGACAAATGTACCTACCAATGCACTTTCAAAAATAAAGAATTGAAATGTAGAGTGGCTTTGGGAAGACCCCTTGGCAATGCCAATAGTAAGTATGTCTCTGGGTTGTGAGTAAGTTCCTTGCCTGTTACTGCCTGTATCGTGGTTGAAATGTCCTTCCAGAACCCCGCAAGTCGTGGACAAGACCACCAAATGTGGAGCATAGATCCGGGTTCCGTCCGGCATCTCCAGCACAGGTTGGATCTTTCATGGGCCATTTTGTGCACCCTTGTGGGAACCATATATGTCCTATACAACACTTTCCTACTCAATTCTATGTGGGATGCATTGAGAGTGAGGTTTTTGTGTGCAAGGAATATGTATGCCCATTGTTCGTCTGACACGTTTTTGTGGAGATCCCTCTCCCAAGCCCTCAGAAACGATGGTCTCCCTAGTTTATCGTATTTCGTAAGTTGCTGATATACTACGGACAGCAGTTTGGGGGAAAGTTTCGGGGCCGTGCACAATTTCTCCAATTCTGTCAACAAAGAGTTGTGCTGTTGTGAGATTATGTCTTACCCAAGACTGTAATTGCATGTGCGAGTACTGTGCTTTCTCTGGAAGTTGATAGGATTGGATTATGGAGGTAAAATCTAGGATATGGCCCTCCCCTAGGATTTGATATATATATGTTACCCCATGTTTGTGCCACAACCCATAGTCAAAATTAGGAATAAAAAATTGTAAGGCTTGTATCGGCATAGCGAGGGATATGTAAGTATCACTTCGATGCCTTTTAAGGATTCTGTCCCATATTTGAATCGTTGCTGCTGTAGTGGGACTAATAGTGTTGAATTTCGGTCTATACATTTTAGGCAGCCAAACCATTGTTGGCAGGGAAAGACCCCCTATGTGTGAGGATTCTATAGAATTCCACTTCAGTGGATTTTTGTCAAAGTAGGTAGTTACCAGCTCGCTCATCACAGCCGCCGCGTAGTACCGTGCTATGTTTGGCAGTCCCAGTCCACCCTCCCTAAAGGGTTTATACAAGGTTTCAGCCGCTATCCTAGGTTTCTTTCCTCCCCAGATGAATTGAGTTATCACTTGTTGAGACTCTTTTAAAAAGGTACTTGGTAACCTAATCTGCAAGGTTCGGAAGAGGTATTGCCACCTTGGTAAGACCATCATTTTAATGGCAGCTATTCTACCCGTCCACGAGATGTATTTGTATTTCCAAGCTAGGAGCTGTTGCTTAATTGAGTTGTGCAGTTTTAGATAGTTGGCCTTATATAGTTGGTTTGTTTGAGGTGTGAGATTGACCCCTAAAAGAGTTAAATGGGACTGTTGCCAATCATAAGCATGGGTAGTTTTTAGTTCCAGGAGTTTGGATTTGGTTATGTTGAGGCCCATAGCTTGCGTTTTTGTTATGTTCAGCTTATAATAAGAGCAGTTGCTGAATCTCGTTAAGACAGTTTGTAGCTTGGGGAGAGAAGTCTCTGGTTGAGAAAGCGTGAGCATTACATCATCAGCAAAAAGTGTAATTTTATGCTCCATCCCTCCTGCTAGTATCCCATGTATACCTGGTGAATTCCTTATATGTTGTGCTAAAGGCTCCAGCGCTAATATGTACCCCTGCCTTGACCCATTGGAAATGGAGAAGGGTTTGGAGGTGAAACCTCCATTAGATATTTTTGCAGTGGGGTTGCTATAAAGTGCTGATACCAGTGTAGTGAAGCATTTCGGGAAGGCTAGCTTCCTAAGTACTGATTGTAGGTAGCCCCAGTGTAGCCTGTCAAATGCTTTTTCAGCATCCAGTGACAGTACCACACTTGGGACTCGATTCCTCTGTATAGTATGGAAAAGATTAATCAACTTCCTAGTCCCGTCCGAGCCCTGTCTCCCCCGTATGAACCCAACTTGATCGTCATTTATCAACCTGGGCAAGATGGACCCGAGTCTGTTGGCATAAATTTTGGCTAGTATCTTTAGGTCCGTGTTTAATAGCGAGATGGGACGCAAATTTTGGCTTCTGTTGGGTGGTTTGCCGGGCTTTGGCAGGGTTGTTATATGCGCTAAGAGCATTTCTTTAGGGATTTTGCCGGTGATGCGTATATGGTTGTACAGTTTCTCTAATTGGGGGATGAGCACATGAGAAAAGGTTTTATAATAGAGATTCGTGAAACCATCTGGGCCAGGGGA